ACTAACATTCTAGACTTTGTAAGCAACCTACAAAGCACCCTCCGACACTCTTTAGCCCTTGCTAAAGAAAACCTAAAGGATGCTCAGGAAGAGCAAAAGGCCTGGTATGATAAACATTCTAGAGAACGGTCCTTCAAAGTAGAAGACCAAGTCATGGTCTTAAAGGCGCTCCAGGCCCATAAAATGAAAGCGTCGTGGGAAGGACCATTCACGGTCCAGGAGCGCCTAGGAGCTGTTAACTATCTCATAGCCTCCCCCACCTCCAACATAAAGCCTAAGGTATACCATGTTAATTCTCTTAAGCCCTTTTATTCCAGAGAATTAAACGTTTGTCAGTTTACAGCCCAGGAAACAGATGACGCGGAGTGGCCTGAAGGTGTCTACTACGAAGGAAAAAAGGATGGTGGCGTGGAAGAGGTGAACCTCTCCACGACCCTTGGATGTCTGCAGCGACAGCAGATCAAGGAGCTGTGCACAAGCTTTGCACCAATTTTCTCAGCCACTCCAGGACGGACCGAACGGGCATACCACTCCATTAACACAGGTAATGCTCACCCAATTAGAACCCCACCCTACCGGGAGTCACCTCATGCCCAAGCGGCTATACAAAGGGAGATCCAGGACATGCTACAGATGGGTATAATCCGCCCCTCTAATAGTGCATGGGCATCTCCAGTGGTTCTAATTCTCAAACCAGATGGGGAAATACGCTTTTGCGTGGACTACCGTAAGCTAAATGCTGTAACTCGTCCTGACAACTATCCAATGCCACGCACAGATGAGCTATTGGAAAAATTGGGACATGCCCAGTTCATCTCTACTTTAGACTTAACAAAAGGTTACTGGCAAGTACCACTAGATGAACCTGCTAAGGAAAGGTCAGCCTTCGTCACCCAGGCGGGGGTGTATGAATTCAATGTACTCCCTTTCGGGTTGCGAAATGCACCCGCCACCTTCCAAAGACTTGTAGATGGTCTCCTCGCGGGATTGGGAGAATCTGCAGTTGCCTACCTCGATGATGTGGCCATTTTTTCTGATTCATGGACAGAACACCTGGAGCACCTGGAAAAAGTCTTCAAGCGCATCCGGCAGGCAGGACTAACTGTTAAGGCTAAAAAGTGTCAAATAGGCCAAAACAGAGTGACGTACCTGGGGCACCAGGTGGGTCAAGGAACTATAAATCCCCTACAGGCCAAAGTGGATGCTATCCAAAAGTGGCCGGTTCCAAAGTCAAAGAAACAGGTCCAATCCTTCTTAGGCTTGGCCAGATATTATAGGCGATTTGTACCACACTACAGCCAAATCGCCGCCCCGCTGACAGGCCTAACCAGAAAGAAACAGCCAAATGCAGTTCAGTGGACTGATGAATGTCAAAAGGCCTTTAACCAGCTTAAGGCGACACTCATGTCTGACCCTGTGCTAAGGGCCCCAGACTTTGACAAACCGTTCCTAGTAACCACAGATGCGTCCGAGCGGGGCGTGGGAGCAGTTTTAATGCAGGAAGGACCGGATCAAGAATTCCATCCTGTCGTGTTTCTCAGCAAGAAACTGTCTGAGAGGGAAAGTCACTGGTCAATCAGCGAAAAGGAATGCTACGCCATTGTGTATGCGCTGGAAAAGCTACGCCCATATGTTTGGGGACGGCGTTTCCAACTACAAACAGACCATGCTGCGCTACAGTGGCTTCATACCGCCAAGGGGAATAACAAAAAACTTCTTCGGTGGAGTTTAGCTCTCCAAGATTTTGATTTTAAAATACAACACATTTCGGGAGCTTCTAACAAAGTGGCTAATGCACTCTCCTGGGAAAGTTTCCCAGAGTTAACTGGTTAACAATTGTTCTTGGACTGGAACATATTGTTAGTTTTTTTATAATCAGTAGTATGTCTAAAGGTACATGTGTCTTATTAACTCTGTTTTCTCCTAGAGCTCCAGGAAAAAATCACAGCCAGTGTGGAACCGGCTGTCCAATACTATCTGTGATTTGGGGGGCGTGTCATAACTATAAAAGGAAGGGTAACAGCTCTCCTGTGTACAGTACTATAAAACCCCTCCTGGCCAGAGACTTCAAAATCCTTTTACCTGTAAAGGGTTAAGAAGCTCAGGTAACCTGGCTGACACCTGACCCAAAGGACCAATAAGGGGACAAGATACTTTCAAATCTTGGGGGGGGGGGAAGGCTTTTGTTTGTGCTCTTTGTTTTGGTGGTTGTTCGCTCTTGGGACTAAGAGGGACCAGACATCAATCCAGGCTCTCCACATCTTTCTGAATAAGTCTCTCATTATTTCAAACTTGTAAGTAAACAGCCAGGCAAGGCGTGTTAGTTTACCTTTGTTTTCTCAACTTGTAAATGTACCTTTTACCAGAGTGTTTATCTTTGTTTGCTATACTTTGAACCTGAGGCTAGAGGGGAGTCCTCTGAGCTCTTTAAGTTTGATTACCCTGTAAAGTTATTTTCCATCCTGATTTTACAGAGATGATTTTTACCTTTTTCTTTAATTAAAAGCCTTCTTTTTAAGAACCTGATTGATTTTTCCTTGTTTTTAGATCCAAGGGGGTTGGATCTTGATCCACCAGGAGTTGGTGGGAGGAAGGAGGGGGGATGGTTAATTTCTCCTTGTTTTAAGATCCAAGGAGTTTGGATCTGTATTCACCAGGGAATTGGTGAAGAGTCTCTCAAGGCTACCCAGGGAGGGAATCCAGTGGGAATGGTGGCAGCAGGACCAGATCTAAGCTGGTAGTTAAGCTTAGAAGTTTTCATGCAGGCCCCCACACTTGTACCCTAAAGTTCAGAATGGGGAAGCAGCCTTGACACAAGCTTTCTCCTGAGGTGGTGAATCTCAAGGATTTCTCTCTAACATACATCTTCCTCATGGGCAACACATGAGCATCCCCTTCAGCGAGGCTAGCCACGTGGCTCTGCTCCTTCCACCCAAGGCCCCACCCCTACCTCCCCCCCGTCCACCAGAGCCCCGAGCACCGCTCCTCCCTCCCCCCCGTAGCTGGAAGAGCCCCTGCTGGACCGCCCCAGGCCACTGGGCCCCACCACCGAGCCCACCACCAGCCACCTTCTGGCCTCCTCCGGAGCTGAGCTCCAGCCTACTTGGGGGAGAGGACAGAGCATGGGTGGGGCCAGGGCCTGGATTAGGGGAGGTTTAAACTCCCCTGGCCTATTATACCCACTGCCCATGATCTTCCTGAAAGAGACTCTGAGAACTGACAAGGGATCTAGGAGGGGAAAGTGAATTGTGTTTCTGTGCGGGTCTGTTTAGACTGCAATCCTGGGCTGTGAATGCATTATGTGTAAACGTATCTGAGCTAGCTTTAATTTAGTCAGCTTGGGTCCTGGAGCAGTCAAGCTGTGGCAGCCCGAGGGGTACAAGTGCACTCCAAACCTTGGGTAACTAGTCACAGGAATAGCCCATGCTGAAGTGTGCGCTGCTGCAGCCTCATAATGCTTTGAGATACCCGAGATAGCTAGCTAAGGTATATCTATGTGAGCTGCAATCACACCCTGTAATTGTCATGTAGACATGCACTAAGACTGTGGAAGGAGATGGACTCAAGCCAATTACCTTCTGTTTCTCCACCTTCCAATTAGGACGAATATTTTACACAGAAACAAACTGTTGTAAAATGGAGTTACGCAGTCGTGGCCTACCAGTAAAAGAGTGTAATGAATTACTTGGCAGGTGGGATGTAATTATTCCAACAACAGGCGATATAAATCCAGGAAACTCAGAGCTAAGTTCAACGTGTCTGCATTTCTTTAAATGTAATGGCTGGAACGACCAGGTAGGACAGCGAAAGAAGCTTAACGCTGCAGTGTGTCAGTAGTGACAGCATAAATAAAAGACTGCGAAATTATGGCCTATTGGCATTAATGGAAAATAGGCCTGTCAAACTCAGTATGGGGCAAAATGTTTAGAAGTGCATTGAAAGTCAGTGGGACTTAGGATCCCTCAGGGTACATCTGCCCTGCGATCAAAGATCCAGGGCACAGCGGCGATTGGGCCGGGTCAGCTGACTTGAGCTCATAGGGCTTGGGCTGCTGGGCTATAAAATTGCAGTGTAGACACTCAGGCTGGAGCCTGGGCTCTGGGCCCCTCCCCCAGACCCCCGGTCCCAGCCCAAATGGGGTCCTGCAGGGACACTAGGAAAACTCCTCCCTCTAGAATCTGGGGTTTTGGGGGATGCGAGGTGCCCTTTCTGGGGGTGCGAGACATGCCAGATTTTTTTAGAAGGTAAATCATCGAAAACACAAATTAAGCACAGGCACGTAAGTACAACTACTTTGTTTCATCAAACCTATGTATTTATTAACATTATACATTTTTTAACGATTATTGTAATATAGAAACAAATATAGTTATGATATATCTAGGTTTAAAGAACTCACCTACTTCAACGATTTTTGATAAGGGGTGCGAGAACATATTTTGAGAACCAAAGGGGTGCAGGCTGTAGTAAAGGTTAAGAACCACTGCTCTAGACACTGTTCCATTAGAACTGGAGACAGAATGGGATAAGGGGTAAGGGGAGTGGCTTTTTTCCTAAAATGAAGATAGAAGAACAGCTCATGTGTGTGTGATTCTGGCTTGACTGTCAAAGAAGCTCTTGGGATCAAACAAAACAGAAGCTCTTGTACAGATGGAGCATTACAGGACCAGGAAAGGACCTTAAACACCCCAAATAACTTCCTAACCCCCAACTATTAGTGGGTGGGGGAGGTTTTGTGACCTGGAATGGGCAGGGGGTCAGACTAGATGATCATGATGGTCCCTTCTGACCTTAAAGTCTATGAGTCTAACTGTTCTTATCACATAGCAGGCACGAGAGGTGTGAGAGAGAGAAAGGGGCTGCTTTGCCATTTAGAGACTGATTCTGACCGAGAAGGGGAGCGATACACCGCCTGGCCCTGGAGTGGCACTGACCCTGTTTTCACGTGACCCTCCTGGCATCGTCAGTGATCCCCCCCACGCCTCTCCCCCCGGATCTCCATGGACATCGTCCCCGTGACCGAGCGCAGGTAAGCCTGCACTCTGGTCACTCGGATGTTAATCAGTTCCCCTTGTCAAAGCTGACAGGGAGTAATTAGACAATCAGGCTGGATGGTCTATGGAGCCAATTATCAGTCCAAGGCTGATAAAGAGGCAGGAAGGAAGTGAAGGTGAGGAGAGAGAGAGGGGACCAGGGCTAGTTAAGCTCAGTAACATGGAGGCCTCAGGGGGAGGAAGACCTATCTTCCCCTAAGGTCCTAGGGAGAGGGCCAAAAAGTGCTGTTGATGCTCCTGTAGAAATGATGGAGGGAAGGCTACAGTGAAGGCACAACCACTGGGTTTGGTGCAGTTACCACGGGGAAGAAGGCAGGAGAGGAGCCTATCAGTAAACTGTGACGGTCCCCTTCTCTGTCGCTTCCCCTCCCTCACTGATCCCATGGATCTCCCTTTTCCCTTCCTCCTGGGTTGCTGGGTCTCCAGCTAGACCCTGCCCTTCACCCTGTTCTTGGGGGCTCTCCGCTGGGGGCTGCCTCCTCTGTGCTTCCAGCTGGGTGAGGAGGGGTCTCTTCATTCTGTGCCCCCGGCTATTCCTTTCTCCGGGGCTGGTTGCCCGGCCCTGGTGTTCCCCCTGCATCCATCTGAGGGAGCAGGGCTCACTCCTCTTGCAAGATCCATTGCATCTTACTCCTACCCCACCCGGACTGCGCAGACTGTACGCTCCCCTATAGATTGGGGCTTGCCATGTCCTCTAGGGCCTCCAACGTGATTTCACCCTGGCTCTGCTGCCTCCTCTGCTGTGTCCCGGCCACAGACGTATGGTTAGTACATCTGACCAGACACTGTACAGGTCCCCTTTCAACCGGACTTTCCAGTCAAAAACCGGACACCTGGCACTCCAGACAAACGCAAGTCTAGGGTCCATGGCTCACATTTCCCCTCCAGCAAAGCAAGACCAAGCAGTAATTCCAAACTCAGTCTTGGTCCAAGGGGGAAGAAATGGGGGGAAAGTATTTTTCCCCTCCTCTATACTGAATGTTGTAAAAAAATTAAAACTACGAGCCTCTTTCTGAATCTTATCTGCAGTCTCCATGGGTTGGGCTATACATTGACATGGTAGAGTCATAAAATTTAAAACTTACAATTGCCCTTCAGTTTAAAGGTTGCTCCCGATTTAATTATTTACTGAATTTCATGGTCAGGATGCAGATAAGAGAACGTATTTATCCGTCCTAATCCGAATCAATGAAGTCCAACCACCATACACCTCGCTGCTGATCCACAAGCTCTTAACGCTGGAAGTGACTGTAACGCTGACAGTCCCAGGGACAGGTTAGCTGTTCAGTGAGACACAGCAAATCAAGCACTACATTGTTTTTTTTAATTCAATCCCATTCCAGCAGTTCTCAAACTGTGGGTGGGGATCCCAAAGTGGGCCATGACCCAGTTTTAATGGGGTTGCCAGGGCTGGCGTTAGACTTGCTGGGGCCCGGGGTTGAAGCCCAACCCCAAACCCCACCACCTGGGGCCGAAGCCCGGGGCTGAAGCCAAAGCCCAAGGGCTTCAACCCTTGGCAGTGGGGCTCAAGTTACAGGCCCCCCGCCCAGGGCTGAACTCCTGGGCTTTGGCTTCGGTCCCCCCTCCTGGGGTCATGTAATAATTTTTGTTCTCAGAAGGGGATCGCAGTGCAATGAAGTTTGAGAACCGCTTCGTAGACTTTCCAGTGTCTGTGTCTGTGACTCGCTCATTTCAGATTAAGAGTGTCCTTGTTCAATTTAGCTTGAGGGCTTTTTGTTTTTTCCCCGTCTATTCATCACCCACCCTTTCATTTCCTGTGTTCTTTCCAGCTTCCTCCCCTCCCATTCCTCCTCTTCCTCCTCATCCCATATTGTTTCCACTTCCTCCTTTTCTTATCTTTTACCTTGCTGCTCCTCCCAGAGTAGAGAGCAGAAGGCAGAGATCCCAGCAGCCATGGCCTCAGGGACTCCTGAACAGGAAATCACAGAGGAACCCATATGTCCCATCTGCCTGCAATATTTCACAAAGCCAGTGAGCGCAGACTGCGGGCACAACTTCTGCCGGGGCTGCATCACTCGGTACTGTAAAGAATGGACAACGGGAGACTACGGGCCTTTGTGCTGCTCCGTCTGCAGAGCTCGGATCCGGACAGGGAATCTCCGGCCCAACCGGGACCTGGCGCATATAATAGAAAAAATCCAAGAAGAGGGTTTAAAAGCAGACGAAGCGGGAAAAGAGAATCTGTGTGCGAGACACAAGGAGAAACTCAACCTGTTCTGTGAGAAGGATGGGGAAGCCGTGTGTGCGGTTTGCGAGAGATCCCCAGAGCACAGGTCTCACCCGGTGCTTCTCCTTGAAGTGGCTGCCTGGAAATATAAGGTAGGAAATGAACTGGATCTTGGTTAATTCGATCCTTCCCTTTTCAGCATGATATGGACATTCCTCCCAGAGGAGCTGGAGTTTTTCCGAGTCTCTCAGAGCCACCAAGTCCCCAGTTTCCCAGATTCCCCTCCCCCCCTCAATATCTCCAGCTCTGACAAAATCTCTCCCCTGCAGGCCCCGCTCTTCTGTCAGTTGCAGAGACCCCTGGCCATTGATGCTGTCCCAGCCAATCAACCCGGCTCTGTTCATTAGGGCACTAGAGCTCAGTGTGTGGTGCTTTCTCCACCAAGGGGGTTTAAGCAAGATGTGGCCGTGCTGCTGGCAGGCCAGGAATAGAGAGAACAAGCTGTTCTCCCTCCACACCCCTGATAGCCCAGGCACCGCCAGCAGGCGTTCACATTCAGGATGCAACCCTCACTCTGCTGCATGCAGCATTTACAGTGCTGCGTTAAGGCAGAGACACTAAGGACACCTCTCTAGAGTCCCAGCTCCTGGAGTCAGTTGCTTTGCACCAGAACCTTCTTGGTTTCCTTTTAAAAATAATAAAATTAAGTAAGTGGCTAGCCCTCCTGTTTGCAGAGGAAAAGCTTGAAAATGGGAACCCACCCTAAGTTCTAGCCCTCATAGTTATGAAGCAGAGGCATCGACTTCCTGCTTTCCCGGGGTGGGGAACTTGACTCGTGCTTGGGCCCAGGCCCCACCCCCACGCCGCCCCTTCCCTCAAGGCCCCACCCATGCCCTGCCTCTTCCTGCCCCTGCTCTGTCCCCGCCCTGCCACTTCCTGCCCTGTTCCTCCCCTGAGCGTACCCCTCCCTCACTTCACCTCTTCCTGCCCTGCTCCTCCCCGTCCCCCCCAGCACCTACTGCTTGCCGCTGAACAGCTGATCCTCAGCGGGCAGGAGGCCCTGGCCGGGGGCAGGAGGAGTTGATCAGCAGGGCCTACCAGTGGGTGCTGAGCACCCACTATTTTTTTTATGTGAGTGCTCCAGCCCCGGAGCACCCATGGAGTCAGTGCATATGTTATGAAGAAATCTTTAAACTATTCCCCAAGTTTAACCCATGCAGCAACATTTGCCTGAGTCTGCAGAGAGCCTGAGACAATAGTCCTACCCCATAGATTTTTTTAAGAGAGTGTTAACTACCACCCACAGCACCCCAGCACCGCACCAAAGGGCTTTGTGCCTGGCAGAAGTGGAGGAGCACAGGGGGTCACCCACCCGCCCAAGCAGATATGGCCTGGCTACAGCGAAGTCCTGAGTGATGGGGGCCTGCTGAACCCATGACTCTTGTGGGAGAGGATAGTGGGGGTCTCTGTAAGTAGTGGGGCACAGGGGTCTTCTTGCCATGGGGATTGTCAGCAGTGAAGTGGGAGATGTCTGTGGGCTTAATGAAGGGTAAGTGAAAGTCAAATGTTGGATGACCATGTGCGTGAGGGTGCAGGGGTTGTACAACTGGTCTTTGGAGTAGGCTAAGTGTTTGAGTAGAGGGCAGATGGTAAACGTCTCTCCTTTTTATCATGTTCTTTCTTCCCTCTTAGCTCCCCCCTCCCCCCCCCCCCGGCCTTCAGAGTCAACTGACCATTACCTCATCGTAGTCCCAAACTGACCAAGGGAAGGGGAGTGACTCACTCGAGAGTCCAACAGATCCTTTGTTGTTGCCTAGGCCAGTGTCCTTTGTTCCTGTGAGGCTGAGCTGGGTTTGTCCCATACATGCCCTGATGAGGTGTGAACTGCCCCTCTGCTCCTGGAGAGTTTTGCCTGGGCTTGTTTTAAGCCATGGGGACACATTTTCAGCCTCATAACTATATATATGAAATTACAACCTATAACATCACTGTAACAATAACAACAATGCTCAGTGCATCATGAGCCTTCCGAAGACACCCAACATGACAAACTTTGCATTGGATACCACACAATCCTATTATAAGAATGAACATGGGGGTGCAGGGTGTTCCCCCGAGGTACAGAGCGTCACACTCCCAGTGGCCCTGGCTGGGGTGAGGTGGGGGGGGGCTGAGAGCTCAATCGGGGCCACTGGTGGAGGTGGGCTGAGAGCTTAGCCCCGGCTGGGGTCGAGCTCTCAGCCTCGGCTGGGACCACAGCACAGCTCTCGGCCCTGGCTGGAGCTCTGAGCCTGGAGCCTCTCCCCCGTTCCATCACTTGCCCCCGGCCCTGACCCCATTTTTCCCACGGCTCCAGTCCCATTCCTCCCCTTCCCCTGTGGCCCTGCCCCCGTTCAGCCTCCATTCCTCCCCTTCCCCCGTGGCCTCATTCCCGTTCCGCCTTCATTCCGCCTCTTCCCCCCTAAGGCCCCGTCCACACTCACTCCTTCCCCACCCCCGCTGAAGCCTCAAGACCGGAAATGCTTTGTGCCCCAACCTGCATTACGTGCCTCTCCTGGGTATTGGCACATGGGGCAGCATTCAAAGAGGACGTAGCTAAAGTTGCATAGGCACGTACTGGAAGTCGGTATTTCTGGTTTGCAGATATTTGCATTTGGCTGGACTTAGTGTTCTGGAAGGACACGCTATGCCTCCAGACAACCTGAACTCTGCCTTGAGTAGGGTGACCAGATGTCCCGATTTTATTGGGACTGTCCCGATATTTGCTCCTTTGTCCCGCGTCCCGACCAATGTTTGGTCGGGACACTTGACAAAAAAGAAATTTTGCCCTCCCGGCGGGACTTTCGCCCCCCCGCCCCAGCTCCGCCCCCTCCTTCCCCCATTGGCTCCCTCCCCAAATCCCCATCCTGGCCCCGCCTCTTCCCCAACCATGCAGCATTCCTCCTCCCTCCCAGGCTTGCAGCTGCATGGCGGCGCAAGCCTGGGAGGGAGGGGAGTGGCGACGGTGCCTGAATCCTGGAGCTGGTGAGTCAGCTCCGGTACCCGGACACCGGGCGGGCGGGCAAAGGGGGGCTGGCAAGGGAAGGAGATGGGGGGGCTCAGCTCTGAGCCCCCCGCCGCACCAGAGGGCTCCTGCCCGGCCCCCGGGCTGCTGCACACGGGGGCCGGGGCCGGGAGCGCAGCCTGGAGGCTGCTCCAGCCCTGCAGCCCGCGGGGCAGCGCGGTGGGTCCGGGCGGGGGCAGCGCGGAGCGGGCAAGGGCTGGGTGGGCGGCGCGGGGGTGTGGGCCGAATCCCCGCTGCTGCCGGGGAGCCCCGCACCTCTCCCTCCCGCTCGTGGCTGCAGCTCCTTCCCGGCGGGAGGGAGACTAGGCGCGGGGGACGAGTTTCGCATGTGGCCGGGGCAGCGGGAGGCGCGTCCCGCTGGGAAGGAGCCGCAGCCGCGAGCAGGAGGGAGAGGCGCGGAGCTCCCCAGCAGCAGTGGGGATTCGGCCCGCGCCGCCCACCCGGCCCCTGCCCGCTCCGCGCTGCCCCTGCCCGGACCCACTGCGCACCGCATATGCCCATGGCAGGCCGGGGGGCGGGAGGCTCCGGGGGAGGGCAGCGCGCGCGGCCGGGGCCTGCCAATGCCCCCGGCCCCTTTGAAACTCCCTTTTTTTTTTGCTCCCCCCCCCCTTTTTTCGCTCCCCCCCACCCCGTGTCCTGATATTTTATAGTGCTGATCTGGTCACCCTAGCCTTGAGGGAGGTTTTAAGGGGTGAATTTCAAGATTTTGACCACAGAGAGCAATGTTGTGGGTAGGCGGTAGGGTCCTTTAGGCAGTTATAATTATCATGTAAGTTTGCACTTGTGACACAACTGTGGCCAGGTAATGATGATAATACTTAACCAGGGATGCTGGAACGGGGGGGGGGGGGCAGAGGGCCATGCCGCCCCCTTTTAAAAGTGGGGGGAAGAGGCGGCATGGAAGCGGGGCCTTGGGAGAAGGGACAGTAGGGGGTGGGAGCTTGGGGAGAAGGGGCAGCGCAGGGGTGGGGCCTCGGGGAAGGGGTTGTGTCAGGGGGGCCTCGGGGAAGGGGCCTCATTGAAGTCCTGCATCTAAAGGCCCCTCTCCCAACCTTACAGGAGGAGCCACTGAACCCGGGGTTCAACTGAGTGCGGGGGACAACTAAGAAATAACAGGATCGGGAGTGGGGGTCATAGGTTCAAAATTCCCAATTTTCAATTTTGCTGCCCCCAAAGGGTTATTCGGTAGACTCTGAAAAGCTGTTTTCTTCAAGGGTCTGTATCTTAGAAACTCCTTGGTCAAATGACCCCAACTTTAGATCACTAGCTCGACCACACAGCCTCATGAAGCACAACAAATTTCAATGCAGTCTGAGCAACTGGGCAGATTTTACAGGGCTTATAATAAGCACCCTTTAAACAGAAAGACGTGCTTAACCTTCACTACAGCAGAGGTAGTCCTCTGCTATGTTTATGTCATATCTGTGCTGAGAATTTACATGTGAAGAGTATCCCGCTCTAAAGGATTCACAGTCTATAAAAAAATATAGAGGAGGTAGAAAGTGAACCGGGAGCTGCACCTCCCATCTGCTCTCTGTTTGAAACATGCTCTGCAGGGTCTGCACGCACTTTGCATTAAATAGACCAGAGTCATTTACTCTCCCTCCTGGTGTCACGTTCTCTGGAGTGGCTTAGGAATGTGAGTGCCGACCTCAGGGCAGACGGGCAGAAAACCGGGCAGACACCCCAAACTGATGGTGAGTTCTATAATTAGATTTTACCAAGACAGTAACAAAAATGAACTCCTGGATCACTCCACCAGTCTTACCATGGAGTCACAGACATGCCCCTTAGGCTCTCCAGTCTATCTTTCCACCCAGACAAACTGGACTTTGTGATAAATGGTCACTTATACCAAAAAACATACCTTATTTGGGTTGCTTCCAGTCCCAAGAGACCAGTCACTTACCCCAGATCAACTGGATCATCCAACCAAAGATGACACCTGTAGCCAATCCTATCTAAATATTTATTAACTAGGAAAAAGGAATAGGGTATGCTATTCAATGTCCTTCATTTGCATTCCATGCAGCTTCTTACGGGGTATACACAATGGAAATGTTCGCTACTCCATTATAACAGGATACAGATAAGTGAAAACAATGCAAGTAACATCCCATTAGTTCTCATGAAGTTTAAACACCAACTACGTTCTTATATGTTTAACAATCGCTTTGATCTATACTACTACACAAGTGAATTGGTTTGGCATGAGCTGGCACCTGGTCTGCCAGCGTCACACCCGGCACAGCTGAGTTCAGTGCAGGATCAGAGAGTGGGGGCAGAGGTGGCTGTCTGACACCTTTCCAGCTCCTGGTAGTATCTGCTCCTCCAGGGTCCTGCCTGGACCCTCAGCCCCAGGGGCTGCTCTGACTCACCCTCTGTTCTCTGGGTGATTGTAGCAGCTGAGAATAGGCAAAGTGCAGCATGCTTCAGCCACAACCCCTGCCTTCCCAGCGGGCCCCTATGAAGGAGGCTTTGAGAGAGCTGGTGAATGGTCATTCTGCTGGCTCATTGCCATAAAGGATTCCCCCTGATGCCGGGGGATTCACCCATTTGTCTATGGTGCTCACTTCAATTCCAATAAAGGAATCACCCATTTCTGGGACCAAACTACCCTGATCACTCAGAGCCAGGGCATCGCTGGGTGCAGGGCCCCTTGCTGCTGTGCATTGGGCAGCCCAGAACGATCGCTGTCAATATTACTGCCGGGGAAGGGGATCCAGGGGAATTACTAGAGACAAACCTCCTCCCACCCAGCACCTCCGTCTGGCCAGTGGGTTTTCAGGGAATTGGCATCACATCCTCCTGCCGATGGCGACAGTTTAGAAAGAGTTTCATCAAAGACCAGATTCTATCCACACTGGATATATATTTTTTGTTGTGGTAGGAACAAGTCCCACCCCATCACACAAATCACACGCATCATTTTTCTCCACTCAGAAACAAACCCTGACCCAACTGAAGACTCTGAAGAAAGAGCGAGAGGAGCTTCTGGGATTTAAGGAGACCGAAGAGAGGAAAATGAAGGAGTACCGGGTAAGTGCCCATAGTCAATACCCAGCATTTCTCTGTAGTGTTGTGGGCATGGGGGTGTGTTTCTCTGTGACCCTTCTGGGTCACGGTTGCAGAGCTAGCAGCACCTCTGTCCCCTTTCTGGTGTCCCTGAGTGCACGCCTTGCACCTTTACCTGTCCTGACATGGAATTCTGTAATTTTCCCACTCGTAGATCGGGCCCTGGGCTACATAACCCTGGGTATCGACCATTCTCACGCCGTAGGCCCAGCTGTGTTCTGGCACCTGTAGTTCTTCCCTCCAGGCAGTGGCGAATTAATGAGCCCCTGCCTAGGGGCCCTGGCCAATTTGGGGGTTCCTGCAGGAGCACCGGAACCTGAGTAAAAATGGGGGGGCCATTGGGGCTCTCTCACCTGGGAACTGACGAAGGCTGGAAGTCAGAGAGGAAGGCAGAGCATGGGGATGGAGTTCACTACAGCTTGGCTGGTGCCTTGCCCCAGAATGGACTGTGCTTTAACCTGTATGTCCCTGTGCTAACCTATGGGTGTCCCATGCTGTGTTCTAGTCCACTAATAAACCCTACGTGGTTTGGGGTGTCACTGCAAATGTTGGGTGCCTGAAGAGTGGACAAGTCTCTATCAGGAGGGCTGGAGCCCAGGATCTTAGTCTAAGGAAGTGGTGAGGCCGCGTGGTCCTTCCTGAAGGAAGAGTGAGACCCCTCGGGGGGGTCTGGCACATCTAAGGGGTTCCTCCAACCAAGAGACTGTTCAAAAGCTGGGGCATAGCACCGATCCTGTGGACCTGTGACAGCTCAGTGTACACCTATACTGCAGCTGGAGGCATAACTTCCAGCTCAGGTGGGCGTATGCACGCTAGCTTTGGTTGAGCTAGCGTGCTAAAAATAGCAGTGTACTCACAGTGGCAGGGTTACCTGCCTGAGACCCAACCTAGGGTCTCACACAGGACTGTACTCAGGCAGGGCCGGCTCCAGCATTTCTGCCGCCCCAAGCAAAAAAAAAAAGCCGCGATCGGCGGCGGCAGTTCAGCGGCAGGTCCTTCGCTCCTAGAGGGAGTGAGGGACCTGCCACCCCCGAATTGCCACAGGTGCCGCCCCTCTCCCTTGGCCGCCACAAGCACCTGCTTGTTAAGCTGGTGCCTGGAGCCGGCCCTGTACTCAGGGCAGCTACGTTGTCCCACCGCCTGAGTCCTCTCCAGCTGGAAATGACCCCTCCAGCTGTTGTGTAGATCAGTGGTTCTCAACCAGGGGTACATGTAACCCTGGGGGTGCACAGAGGTCTTCCGGGGGTACATCAACTCATCTAGATTTTTGCCTAGTTTTACAACAGGCTACATAAAAAGCATTAGCAAAGTCAGTACAAACTAAAATTTCATACACACATCCTTATTTATACTGCGCTATGTACTATACACTGAAATGTAAGTACAATATTTATATTCCAATTGATTTATTTTATAATTATATGGTAAAAATGAGAAAGTCAGCAATTTTTCAGTTGTAGTGTGGCTGTGACACTTTTGTATTGTTATGTCTGATTTTGTAAGCAAGTCGGTTTTAAGTGAGGTGGAACTTGGGGGTATGTAAGACAAATCAGCCTCCTGAAAGGGGGACAGTCATCTGGAAAGGCTGAGAGCCACTGGTGTACATGTGCTTCAGTCTGGTTTCCCCAAAGAACTCCCCCCCCCGTCTTCAAAGAATTTTTTTTGCCAGGGGCTATATTCCTTTTGATCCTCTATGTGTGTGTGTGTGTGTGTGTGTGTGTGTGTGTGTGTGTGTGTGTGTGTGTGTGTGTGTGTGTGTGTGTGTGTGTGTGTGTGTGTGTGTGTGGCTTATTTGGAACCATTCTATTTCCTTCCTGCTAGATTTTTTCCCCTTTCAGCTCCCCATGAAACTACAGCAATACATTCATACAGTAAACATTCTAGTAAATACAAAGCAGTCACAATTTTTACAGAACAGCTCAATTTCCGTCTCACCTTGTATTACCACATCTGAAAATGTGTGTATATTTGTGTGTATGTCTGCCACTCCCTGTGGGTGTAGCTATGTTTCTGTTTAACACTTTGTGTGTGTGTGTATTATTATTCAGTTACTGTTGTCAGGATAGCATGATTTCCTCACTTACGTTTTGCTGCTGTGCAGTTTTGCGTGTGTTCCCCAGTTCTCTCTCCCCAGCCACCCATTCCTGTGTGGTTCTGAGTCCGGCTCTTAGATCAGGATTGTCAGAGGTCGGTGATATCACATTATTCCAAGCATGCCAGACGTTGCACGCCGGTAACTGAAATTAGGCCTCATGAGGGAGTTCTAGAAAAAAATTATTTCGCATCCACAAGAAGTGTCTCACAAATTGCTGAATTGCAGAGGTCATGGGGAAGTACTCCCCTGGCATAACCAAGGCTCTATGAAATGTCTCATGTTTCTCTCCTTGTCCCTGCTCTTCCTTTTCAGTTGGTCTGGCTACTTCCACCTTTTCATGTTCTCTGTATGTATAAATATCTTCTTGCTGTATGTTCCATTCTATGCATCCGATGAAGTGGGCTGTAGCCCACGAAAGCTTATGCTCAAATAAATTTGTTAGTCTCTAAGGTGCCACAAGTACTCCTGTTCTTTTTGCGGATACAGACTAACATGGCTGCTACTCTGAAACCTTTTCTCTATTTGTGTCTCTTGACTAAAGGACAAAAAAGAAGCTGAGAGGCAGAAGGTTGTGTCTGAATTTGAACAGCTGCACCAGTTCCTGGAGGAACAAGAGCGACTCCTGCTGGCCCGGCTGGGAGAGCTGGAGCAGGAGATTGTGAGGTGGCAGAACGAGACTGTCACCAAACTCAACAAGGAGATTTCCCATCTCAGCGAGCTGATCAGTGAGATGGAGGGGAAGGGGCAGCAGCCAGCGAGGGAATTCCTGCAGGTCAGACTGAGATAGAGACACCTCAGATCCCTCTGCCTCTCTAAGTATTTATCCACAGTTGAACAGGTTCAACAGGAGAGACTGTGAAAAAACCCATGTAAGAATATTCAAGGGCCCAGTGGTTAGAGCCCTCTCCTCAGTAGCGGATTTGCCATGGAGCCACTGGCGCCATGGCGCCGGGTCCACACTCCAGGGGGGCCCCGGCCAGGTCCACTCTTCTCTGCCCCCTGCTCTCTCCTGTGGGGGGCAGAAGCTTGGTGCTCCTGGCACTGAGGCTCCTGCTGCAGTAGGGCAGCCAAACTCCCCCTCCCCTGCCTCCTCTCACAGCTTGCTCCGTTCCTGCCCTCCCCCTCCCTGCCACCGATCAGCTGTTTGCCGATCAGCTGTTTGCTGGCAGAGGTGGGGCGTTGGGGAAGGGGGGTGGAACGAGCATACCTACTCTGTGACTGCAGAGCTGCACAGCCAGGCTGAAAAAAGAAGGTGCTGCTCAGCTCCGGGGACTTTGCAGCTGGACACCACCTTCTGGGTGTTAGGGCTGGTTGAGCTCCCTTCTGTGTGCTGGGAGCCATCCTTCATCTTGTACAACAGTGAGTGCCCATGGTGGGGCAGGCAGGGCAGGGGGACAGAGGCAGTGGGGAGGGAAGGGGGTGGGATGGGGAGGAGATGGAGTAGTGGGGAAGGGGCATGGGATGAGGAAGGGAAGGGGATAGGGCAGGGATCGGCAACCTTCAGCACGCGGTAAGCCCCTTGGTGGGCCGGGCCGGTTTGTTTACCTGCCGCGTCCGCAGGTTCGGCCAATCGCGGCTCCCACTGGCTGCAGTTCGCTGCTCCAGGCGAATGGGGGGCTGCAGGACAAGGGATGTGCTGGCCGCGGCTTCTCGCAGCCCCCCATTGACCTGGAGTGGCAAACCACGGCCAGTGGGAGCCGCGATTGGCCGAACCTGCAGACGCGGCAAGTAAACAAACCGGCCTGGCCCGCCAGGGGGCTTACCCTGGTGGGCCGCATGCCGAAGATTGCCGATCCGTGGGATAGGGGAAACGGGGGCCCAGCATGCGGATCCCCTTGGCAGCAGCTGGGGCTCCCCTGTTAAGCAGGCCCATCAAACCCTCATCCTGACAAGCCCCACCTCCCCTGAATCTGTACCACCCCGGTGAGCCTCCCCAGATACCCTCCCCATTGAGCCCCAACCACCTACACCTAGACCCCCACCCAAATGAACCCTGTAGATAAATCTCTGTATTAAGCATCTTCACATAACTTTCATATGACTTTGTATTATGCCTCTTCATATAACCCTGTATTAAGCTATTTTCATACAACTTTGTATCAAGTCCTTTGAAATAGGAACTTTGTATCAGATCCCTATGTAGAAAAACTTATAGAAAACTTTGTGTTAAGCCTTGGTATAATGTTATAGCCCCTAAGGATAGTTAAAGTAGAAGAAAAATGTCTTTTTGCTAGGCGTAGAATAAGATCTCTCCCCCCTCCCCCTTAATCGATTGCCATGTTGAATGAATGAGGTGTGAATGAGCAAGGCGTGGAAGGCAAGCACCTCCAGACAGCTAGTTGGAGAGGGGATGGAAGCCAGACCCAAGGACAATAAAACTTGCCAAGTGGGCTCACTAAAGAAGAGCAGACATATTGATGGCCTGGGGGGGGAGGGGTGTTAGAAGCAAGCACCTTCTTTTGGAAACACCCTCTTTGAACAGCAGTGGGACAACACCCAGAAGGAAGCAGCACAAAGGACCAACTGACACAGAGACAGATTTTGAATCTGGTACAGATTTGCATGAGAGGGAAGCTGCTATAAATGTGAGGTATCTTGCAGAGGACCCCGGGTCTTGTCTTGTCAACATCGGAGCATCAATCCGGATTGGCAGAAGCTCGGCTCCACCCCTCCCCCATCTAACTCACCTGGCCAGTGCAGTTAAGGGGAGCAACTAGTTGGTAACAACAACAAGACAGAGTGTGTGTGTATGTGAGTGCATGAGTGTAATATAGATCATATGCATATGATACAGTGTTGATTGATGCATGTATTACCAATGAATGTGGCGTTTGCCTTATTCCCCCTGAAAAGATCCTGTGCAGTACTTTAAGTACAACAACCCCCTCCCCTCCGCCTGCTGAGCTCCAACCACTTTCACTTGGTCCCCCCTGCAGATTCCCATTTCCCTTGCACCTGGCACCTCCCTGTGCATCCAGATCCCCCACTGAGCTGCCTGCACCCAGACTGCCCCCCACAGACCCCTCTTACCCCCATCTGGATCCCCCCACACTAAGTCCCTCTGCACTTGGATCCTGCTGCCGGGCTGAGCCTCCCTGCCCACATCTGGTGTGCCTGCACAAAGGAGCAGGGCCCCAGGGTGTTTCTGGGGCAGGCCTGGCCCTTGTGCTGTGTCAGGGTCAGGGTCAGTCTCACTGCCAAGTCCCTGTCCCAGGGGGGTGGGGGAGGCTGCAGGGTATTCTCCCACCTCCATGCAGCCAGTGGCCTGTGCTCCTCACTGCCACGGTGGAGCTTCCACATTTATTTATTATAAAAAAAATTCAGAATTTTAAAATATTATGCACAGAATTTGATGCAGAATTCCCTCAGGAATATGGGGCACTGTACAGCTGTGACGGTGGGACTGTGAAGGGGGTGCTGGACAGTAGGAGATCTGTGGGTGGGGGAGCTGGGCAGGGGGATGGTGGGCAGGGTGCTATGCAGTTGTGGTGGGAGGTCAGCGGGAGGGGTCTCTAGGCAGGGGGTGCTGGGCATAGGGATCTGTGGGGGAAGTCTCTGGGTGAGGGGGCGCTGGACATAAGGGCAGGGCACTGGGGGAGGCAGGGGGCAGTGTGGAAGGGGCACACTGGCAGCACAGGGCTGGGCAGGCCAGTGTGCGTCTAGCAGTTTTGGGTTTGTAAACAGTGCCCTTGTGCTGGGCTGAGTGGGGCCACTCCCACTGTGCCTCATTGCCCCCAACCAGCCCCTCGCTCCGCGGACCGCCCCCCCATCACATGCCCTATTTGCCCAATGGGGGCCCACAAATATGTTTGGCGCCGGACCCACAAAAACTTAATCCGGCCCTGGTGGGGGACCCCCTGTTTGAACCCTTTCTTGGCACAGGGGGGAACTGAAAGTAGGTCTCCCACCTCCTGGGTGAGCGCGCTAACCACTGGGCTAAAAGTTATATGGGAGCCTGTTTCCTCCTGTCTTCCACAGAGATCCGGCCTCCCTGTAGTAAGGTGAAAAACTCTGTGAAAGGGATGGGGCTTAGGGCACACCCCACTCGTCAACTTCTCCCATTGGCTGTCTCAAGCAGCTCGCCGCCCAGCCTGCTGACTTTGTACAGCCGGGCGCCTGTCTCTCTTCATGCATGGTATCGGGAGCCTAGGCTTCCTGGGGCACCTGGCATTGGCCACTGTTGGGAGACAGGATACTGGGCTAGATGGACCTTTGGTCTGACCCAGCCTGGCCGTTCTCATGTTCTCTTATGTTCTTTGTGGATCCTGTCACTCTAGTGGTTTTCTAGGTGCCCAAAAGTTAGGCACTGCAGCAACTCGGTCCGTTTGTGGATCCAGGCTGTAGCTCATTGGTTTCCATGTGCTACTTACACACACACGTCCCAATTCCAGACAATAGAATGTGACCAAATAATTGCAGGAGATACACAGTGGCCAGTTAGGAAAATCTGGCCAGAGCAGGAGGGAGCCCCCGTGTGTGGTATATGGGACTGAGCTTCCTTCTCTCTCTCTCTCTCTCTCCCCATAGGACTCCAGAAGCACCTTGAGCAGGTACGTGGCTCCTCACTTTCCATTCACATTTCTGCATGGGTGGCGGGTGAATGACCCCCTTCAGGGAGGCTAGCCTTGGCCACGCGCCTACCACCCAAGGCCTCTCCCCCCACCCGCCAGAGCCTCGCACACCCCCCGCTGCAGCCAAAGGAACTCCGGCTGGCCCGCCCCAGACACGCTGGCTGACCCGACCCCCAGGCCAGGCTGAGCTGTCCCAGGCCACTGTCTGGCCTGAGCACTGTCCCAAGCCACCCCCACCCTGGCCAACAGCCTGAGCCCAGGCTCCAGGCCGCTGGCAGTAGCTGAGCCCCCGCCGGCTTCAGGGAAAGGGGGAGGGAGAGCAGGGCCTTGGGGTTGAGCGTGGGTGGGGCCGTGGCAGGGGTTAGGGGAGGCTTAGCCTCCCCTGACCTTCGATAGCCACCATCCATACACGTCTCTGTGCCACTTAGGGGCTTGAATAAGATGTTTAAAAAAATCATCCCAGGACACAACAGTAAAGCAGGGCAGGGTGACAAATGGGGTCAGAATCTCCCTCTGTTTAATACAAATGGGGGATATCTCCTGTGTTTCCTATAAAACTAAACGAATATAGATATTTTTATAATCACCTGAATTCCAAGGGTGGGGGAGATGCCCCAGGGCTCTGGGGGTGGAGTATGGACCTTTCACCTCTAGGGGTACGTCTACACTACCCGCCGGATCGGCGGGTAGTGATCGATCTATCAGGGATCGATGTATCGCGTCTCGTCTAGATGCAATACATCGATCCCCGAACGCGCTCCCCGTCGACTCCGGAACTCCACCAGGGCAAGAGGCGGAAGCGGAGTCGATGGGGGAGCGGCGGCCGTTGATCCCGCCCCACGAAGACGCAAACTAAGTCAATCTAAGTCGATCTAAGATATGTCAACTTCAGTTACACTATTCTCGTAGCTGAAGTTGCGTCTCTTAGATTGATCCCCCCTAGTGTAGACTAGGCCTTAGACTCTGGTTCTGTCGTGTCCAGGTCAGGAGTGAAGAGAAGTCTTTATGACCTGTTAATTATTTGGAGACTTGTGTGCAGGGGCAGTCAATAGGTGGACTGCGGGCCAAATCCAGACCACCTGATGCTTTTGAACGGATCCCAAAATCTTTTTCATTTACTTCTTCTTATCATTATTGTAATTACCATATATACTCGTTCATAAGCTGAATATTTTTGGTAAAAAGGTGACGCATCGAAGAGTGGGGGTCGGCTTATAAACGGGTCTACCCCCAAATTTTATGATTTTAAACTCTATGGAATCATTGAATTGAATATCTAATATATTGTTGTTTTGTTTACCTGGAGCGTCTGCAGGCATGGAGCACCTCGGCTCCCTGTGGCCGCGGTTCGCCATTCGTGAATGCTCCAGGTAAACAAAATGTCCAGGCCCGCTAGAGGCCTACCCTAATGGGCCAGGAGTCAAAGTTTGTGAACCCCTGAAATATAGGGTCAGCTTATGAAAGAGTCATACCGTTTTTGCTATTTTTACCTAACCATCTTGGGGGGTCCGCTTATAAATGAATGGGCTAATGAACAAGTATATATGGTATTTCTTTTATTATTTTCTCTGGAGTCTGGACCTTGACTATACCTTGACCAAGTAATTTGGACCATGACAAAAAATAATTGACTACCCCTGAGGAACAAACTAGGGCAGTGGTCCCCAAACTGTGGGGTGCGCTCCCCTGGGGGGGTGGAGGAATTTTGGGGGCCAGGCCCCATAGGGTGGGAGCAGGGAGGGAGCACCACCCAACTCCTCTCCATGCTGGGCCCAGCTCTGCCCTCATTCCCTCTCAGCCCCCAGGCCAGATCCACCTTTAGCCCAAGCTCTGCCGCTGAGCCAGTATTGGGGGTGGGAATGGGGTGGGACAGATTCCACTACTGGTAAGGCGGAGGCACAACAGGAAAAGTTTGGGCACCACTGAACGAGGGAGACAAGAGTTGATCTCAGTCCAGCCTCTGTGGCGCAGAACACAAATTTCATCAGGAATATTGGAACTGATTGGCCATCAGAGCAGGAAGGCCAAGGAGTGGACGGCCATGGGGATTGAACTCCCTTCCTATCCCTTGAACTGGTCTCCCTGGATCAGAGTTGAAACAAGTTAATGGGCTACTGGTGCGGGGACCTTGCACTGCCATTGCCTGGACTGTACCTCATCTGAGCACTGGTATGTACAAAGCAATTCATTCTCCAGCCTCCTTAGTTCAGCAACATTCACTAGTTCGACATTCGGAGTCAAATATGAAAATCCAATGATCTTCCATTAACAAAATCTGTTGCGGTCTAGGTGCAAAAAAGGGAAGTTCCAGGTGCCGGTGAAGATCTCTCCTGTGCTGGAAAAAAGACTCAGCATTTACTCTCAACAAACTCTTGCTCTAAAGGCAACTTTGAGGACCTTCAAAGGTATTGAGAAGGGGAAACCGAAACGTGTCCGTGACGCTGAGAGACGAAGGGCTCTGGTCAATTATTTCATGGTTAGATGCTGATGGAAAGTAGAAATAAATGAAATTGACGCATTAAATCAGAAGAATGGGCTGGGGCATTGGAATGGAGGGGGAGCCAGGGGGCCATGGCACCACCACATTTTACTGACCGTAAGGGCGAGCAACGGCAGGGAGAGGGCAGAGAGGAGTGAGCCGGGAGCAGGGCTTTGGAGGAAGAAGTGGCGCAGGGGTGGGGCCTCAGGGAGAAGGGGCAGTGTGAGGGTGGGGCCTTGGGGGAGAAGGGGCAGAGCAGGGGCAGGAGAGAGGGATGGCACAGGGGCGGGGCCATGGTTTTAAGAAGTTTCTGCCGCTCCTGGCCTGGGGGGTTTTCCAAGGCAAAATAAATTATTATTCAAAGTCAATAATCCATGTGAAGGGGATTCATTTTCCCCGCAAACAGGTTTCTCCTAAGCCATGGAAATATGGGGTCCAGGTGAAGGGAGCCGGATCACATGTTCCTGTCTGACAGATTCAGTTGTGGCATAATCCTGGTCATACATAGAGCCCTGCAAATCTGCAGTTATCCGCTTTATATACGTGGCTGCGGATGCGGATATCCGCGGACCATGTCTGCGATCGGATGTGAATACAAATTTTGTATCTGCACAGGGATCTCGTTATAAATGGAGACTGGAGCCGATAAACTGCTATTTAATAACAGAGAGAAACTGTGACCGGGGTCTCAAGGGGGGCCACAGTGAGGTTACTTAATTAGGGAAAACTGCAAAGAATGGGGCAGACAATCCCCAAAGCTTGTGGTCATTCCAGTACTTAGATCCACCAAGCTAGCCTCAAACAATTTTATAATACCTCTCTGGTTACCCAGAAGCCAAAACACAGTTCCCTTAAAGCAACCCAGCCTTAGGCCTCCATCCAGACACCCAAGTCAAATATGATGAGGATTACTGAAAGTCTTATTCATCATATAAGAAAGTTCTACCAATCCCAAAGGATCAGACACATTACCTCCCAGGTTAATGAATATTCCAGATCTTACCCAAATACATGCTTACAGCCAATAAACTAAAATTTATTAAAAAAGAAAAACGAGAGATTATTGGTTAAAAGATCAGTATGCATACAGACATAAGTACAGTTCTGAGATCAGATTCATAGTAGAGATGATGAGCTTTGTAGTTGCAAAGAGTTCTTTCAGAATTAGTCCATAGGTTATAGTCCAATGTCCATATTCTGGGTGATCCAATGGGACTGGATAGCTCAATCTTATGACTCAAACTTCCCCTGCATAAAGCATCGAGCAGATCTGAGATAAAAAGGATCAGGACCCAAGAGACCTTTATACAGTTCCAGGCCTTCTCTTGACAGCTAGGAGTTCTTAGGTGAACAACAGACAACCATGGAGACTTTGAAGTAGACCTATTTCCTAAGCATCACTAATTAGCTACAGGGATTAACAAAAGACAATTGACTGTTTTCCACCATTTGCAGGTGATTTGCTGTACATTTCAAAGAGAGACGAATACAGTAATATCACTATATTTACAGTTCATTTAAATATTAAGATCTCCTTTTGATCTCTGAATTAACAGAATACAGCACAGACAGGACTGTTTGATTACATTGTTAACCTCTTGATTACATTGTAAACACACAGTTAGTATCACCTCTAATTCTCTAACAATACAGGTTTGCATTTCAAAGTTCTAGCCTATCTAACATGAAATGGCCCTAACTACCATTTACATACTTTTCTAACATGTCACTAAAAAATGACTCTGGGTCATTTATCCTGCAGGATGCTTAACCCTTTCTGGCCATGCGTCACAGAAAGTAAACAAATCCAGCAAATAATGCGTGGGTCTGGGAGTCAGGAGAGCTGGGTTCTGTTCCAGCTCTACCACTGATTCACGGTGTGACCATGGCCGAATCAAGTAATGGCTCCCTGCCTCAGTTTCCCCCATTATCAAAAGCAGGGAGGGTGATCATAACTGCAGACCTCACAGGAGGGTGTTAGTCTGATGCTTAACCTGTGGCTGTATTAAAATGCTTCCAGCTCCCTGGATGTAAGAAGCTCAATGGACCTGATTCTCAAATGTAATTTTCCCAGTGGGTGCTCCACCCCCGTGGCCCATCCTCATGCCGCCTCTTCCTGTCCTGCTCTGCCCCCTCTCCTGAGGCCCTGCCCTCGCTCTGTCTCTTCCCACCCCTGCTCTGCCCCCTCCGCGTGGGCCCCCCGCCAACCCACCTCTCCCTCCTCTCTGCCCCCTCCCCCGCGTGCCTCCCACCCTCGGAACAGCTGATTGGCGGCCAGCCCCAGGGCCGGAACCAGTGTGGCTGGCGGGTGCTGAGCACCGCCTGTTTTTATTTTCCATGGGTACTTGGGCCCCGGGGCACCCATGGAGTCGGCGCCTACGGCTGTGGGTGATCAAAGCCTTAGAAAATGAGATCCTGTGTGTGCAGAGGGTACATGTGAAATCCTTGGAGGAAACAAGTGATATAGGTCCTGGTTCTTGTTTATGTTAAGGGTTCTTTACACCTTTACCTCCCTGGCAGTTTAAAGGGGGCTTTAAAGCTGGTATAAACATCTCACTACGCTGCCAGAGAGGCGTAAATGACAATCAGGGCCCTAGTCATGCGCCGTGTGCAGAGAATATCTGTGATTCTCATTTATCATCTTTTGTCCTGTCCAGAAATTTTCCCAGAGTGTCTTCATTTCTCTGCCTGGTTCCATATCTCTACCGTTTTGTCTGTTTCAAAATCAAAGCACAAATAAATCAAACAGTAAAAATTTTGCCATAGACACAGCAGCATGACATCTCCCCTCTCTCCTCTCTCTCTCTCTAGACACACTGTCATCTGACCTGAAGAGAGACTGGGGACTGTCTCCAGCAAGGGGTGTGAAAAAACTATACAGAAAGGGTGAGTTTTCCCAGCGTTTCCCCCTCCACACACACACACTCAGATTAAGAGCAAATTAGACTCTCAATTAATGTGCAAAAAAACTTTCTGGGATCAAACCCCCAGAGGCCCAGCTCACCCTGATCTAGGCATCACATGCAAGTGAGAATGGAGCTGCTGTGACACACACCGACCACCTCTCCCTGCCCGGGGGGATCCAGTGCTGAACACACACTGCCTGTGATTGACGGGGGGCTGCTGTACCCCAGACAGATGGACACTGATGGAGGAGGGGGCAGCTGGACGGACTGACTCTTGCTGTGGCTGGGCTGCAGGAATAATATTAAGTGTGAAGTCTCCGTTTCTCCCTCTCTTGTCATCAGTGGCAGTGATGTGAATTGACCTGTAACCCTTTCACTGCCAGGTCAATGTTTGAGCGGGAAACACTGAGGCAATTCAGGACTTCCCAGCTGTGCTGTTCGTTTCGAGGCGCTGAGGCCCACATCGGGACATGGGGGTTGCCATGCTCAGCTTTGCAATACCTGACATGGAGGCACTTAGGAACTGGGTTAGGCGAAGAGGTGACACATAGGGAGGGCATGGGGCGGGTCAAGTGCCCCCCCAGATTGGTCTTCCGGGGAGGGAGAGGGGCTCTGTTCTTCTCTCCCTGTGCCTCCCCCTGGCACGTTGGGCCCCTCTCCCTGGCAGCCGGGCGGGGAGCGGGACGGAGCCACTTCTGCCTGAGAGCGCCTGGCTGGAGAGGCAGCTTTGTCGCACTCTCCACCCAGCTGCCAGGGAGAGCAGCCGAACGTGCCGGGGGGAGACGCACGGAGAGAAGGACAGAGAAGTGGCCCACCCCCCGCAGGTAACGTGGGGTGGGGAGAGCGCTATGTCCTGGGCTGGGCGCAGGATGGGAGGGGTCACTGGGCAGGGGAGACGTGGGGCAGTCACATGTCCTCTCCATTAGCTTGCGCCTCGGTTATGTATGAGGAGAGAGAGGTGCGTGAGAATGGGATCCACGAAAACCAGCCTCCTAGCTAGGGAGCCACCGAAGCTAGCCAGTGGGAGACCCCCGCCCCGCAGCATTTTATGTGGAGTTAGTAACCCCCAAGCAGGCTGTCAAACTCCTACTATGCCAGTGCAGGCTGTGTGGAACAGCTCAAGAGCATGAGTGCCAACCTCGGGGCAGACTGTTAAGAAGCAGGGCACACCCCCCAACCTGGCTGTGCGTTTTACAACACTTAGACTTCACCCACCAAGTGTCGAGTGTGAACCCCTCAGGCACTAGAACAGTCTTCACGTGGAGTCACAGACCGTCCCCTTGGGTGCTCCAGTCTATCTTGCCACCCAGGCAAGCCGGCCTTTGCGATAGAGGGTCCCTTAAACCAAAAATCACACCAATATTCAGGTTACGGCCAGTCCCAAAGAACCAGTCCTTTATCCCAGGGAAATTGCACCTTAGATCTTACATCTTATATTGGATTTGTAAAAGGTTCAGAAAAGGGCCACAAAAATGTTTAGGGGTATGGAACAGCTTCCATATGACGGGAGGTTAATAAGACTAGGACTTTTGAGCTTGGAAAAAAGACGACTAAGGAGGGATATGATAGAGGTGTATAAAATCATGATGGGTGTGGAGAAAGAAAATAAGGAAGTGTCATTTACTCCTTCTCATAACACAAGAACTAGGGAGTCATGAAATGAAATTACTAGGCACCGCACAGTCAAACTGTGGAACTCTTTTCTAGAGGATGTTGTGAAGGCCAAGACTATAACAGGGTTCAAAAAAGAACTAGATAAATTCATGGAGGATAGGTCCATCAATTGCTATTAGCCAGGATGGGCAGGGATGGTGTCCCTAGCCTCTGTTTGCCAGAAGCGGGGAGTGGGCGACAGGGGATGGCTCACTTCATGATTTCCTGTTCTGTTCATTCCCTCTGGGGCACCTGGCATTGGCCACTGTTGGAAGGCAGGAGACTGGGCTAGATGGACCTTTGATCTGACCCAGTAGGGCCGTTCTTATGTTCAAAGACAATGCTAGTAGCCAATCCAGTAATAAACTATCTAAAGATGTAGTAATTCAGAAAAAGAAGTGAGAATTATTTACAAGCTTAAACACACACACAAATAAGTCAGAGTCTTAGAATCATAGAATCATAGAATATCAGGGTTGGAAGGGACCTCAGGAGGTCATCTAGTCCAACCCCCTGCTCAAAGCAGGACCAATTCCCAACTAAATCATCCCAGCCAGGGCTTTGTCAAGCCGGGCCTTAAAAACCTCCAAGGAAGGAGACTCCACCACCTCCCTAGGTAACGCATTCCAGTGCTTCACCACCCTCCTAGTGAAATAGTGTTTCCTAATATCCAACCTAGACCTCCCCCACTACAACTTGAGACCATTGCTCCTTGTTCTGTCATCTGCCACCACTGAGAACAGCCAAGCTCCATCCTCTTTGGAACCCCCCTTCAGGTAGTTGAAGGCTGCTATCAAATCCCCCCTCATTCTTCTCTTCTGGAGACTAAACAATCCCAGTTCCCTCAGCCTCTCCTCATAAGTCATGTGCTCCAGACCCCTAATCATTTTTGTTGCCCTCCGCTGGACTCTTTCCAATTTTTCCACATCCTTCTTGTAGTGTGGGGCCCAAAACTGGACACAGTACTCCAGATGAGGCCTCACCAATGCCGAATAAAGGGGAACGATCACGTTCCTCGATCTGCTGGCAATGCCCCTACTTATACAGCCCAAAATGCCGTTAGCCTTCTTGGCAACAAGAGCACACTGTTGACTCATATCCAGCTTCTCATCCACTGTGACCCCTAGGTCCTTTTCTGCAGAACTGCTGCCTAGCCATTCGGTCCCTAGTCTGTAGCAGTGCATGGGATTCTTCTGTCCTAAGTGCAGGACTCTGCACTTGTCCTTGTTGAACCTCATCAGGTTTCTTTTGGCCCAATCCTCTAATTTGTCTAGGTCCCTCTGTATCCGATCCCTACCCTCTAGTGTATCTACCACGCCTCCCAGTTTAGTGTCATCTGCAAACTTGCTGAGAGTGCAGTCCACACCATCCTCCAGATCATTAATAAAAATATTAAACAAAACCGGCCCCAGGACCGACCCTTGGGGCACTCCGCTTGAAACCGGCTGCCAACTAGACATGGAGCCATTGATCACTCCCCGTTGAGCCCGATGATCTAGCCAGCTTTCTATCCACCTTACAGTCCATTCATCCAGCCCATATTTCTTTAACTTGGCGGCAAGAATACTGTGAGAGACCGTATCAAAAGCTTTGCTAAAGTCAAGGAATAACACATCCACTGCTTTCCCCTCATCCACAGAGCCAGTTATCTCATCATAGAAGGCAATTAGGTTAGTCAGACACGACTTCCCCTTGGTGAATCCATGCTGACTGTTCCTGATCACTTTCCTCTCCTCTAAGTGTTTCATAATTGATTCCTTGAGGACCTGCTCCATGATTTTTCCAGGGACTGAGGTGAGGTTGACTGGCCTGTAGTTCCCCGGATCCTCCTTCTTCCCTTTTTTAAAGATGGGCACTACATTAGCCTTTTTCCAGTCATCCGGGACCTCCCCCGATCGCCAGGAGTTTTCAAAAATAATGGCTAATGGCTCTGCAATCTCATCCGCCAACTCCTTTAGCACCCTCGGATGCAGCACATCCGGCCCCATGGACTTGTGCACGTCCAGTTTTTCTAAATAGTCCCGAACCACTTCTTTCTCCACAGAGGGCTGGTCACCTTCTCCCCATACTGTGTTGCCCAGTGCAGCAGTCTGGGAGCTGACCTTGTTCGTGAAGACAGAGGCAAAAAAATCATTGAGTACATTAGCTTTTTCCACATCCTCGGTCACTAGGTTGCCTCCCTCATTCAGTAAGGGGCCCACACTTTCCTTGACTTTCTTCTTGTTGCTAACATACCTGAAGAAACCCTTCTTGTTACTCTTAACATCTCTTGCTAGCTGCAACTCCAAGTGTGATTTGGCCTTCCTGATTTCACTCCTGCATGCCTGAGCAATATTTTTATACTCCTCCCTGGTCATTTGTCCAATCTTCCACTTCTTGTAAGCTTCTTTTTTGCGTTTAAGATCAGCAAAGATTTCACTGTTTAGCCAAGCTGGTCGCCTGCCATATTTACTATTCTTTCTACACATCGGGATGGTTTGTTCCTGCAACCGCAATAAGGATTCTTTAAAATACAGCCAGCTCTCCTGGACCCCTTTGCCCTTCATGTTATTCTCCCAGGGGATCCTGCCCATCTGTTCCCTGAGGGAGTCAAAGTCTGCTTTTCTGAAGTCCAGGGCCGTATTCTGCTGCTCTCCTTTCTTCCTTGTGTCAGGATCCTGAACTCGACCATCTCATGGTCACTGCCTCCCAGGTTCCCATCCACTTTTGCTTCCCCTACTAATTCTTCCCTGTTTGTGAGCAGCAGGTCAAGAAAAGCTCTGCCCCTAGTTGGTTCCTCCAGCACTTGCACCAGGAAATTGTCCCCTACACTTTCCAAAAACTTCCTGGATTGTTAGTTTCCGAAAGGAGGTAGAATCTTCTTGTAATAAGCTCCCACATCTCTGGGCAATGTTGAATAGACTCAGAGGAGCTCATTAGCCTTGGTCTATGCTACAGAGTTAGGGCGATGCAAGGCAGCTTACTTCGACCGAGCTCTGTAAGCGTCCACACTAAAATGTTGCTGCCGCCGACGTAACTCGCCCGCTACACCGCCTTAATAACTCCACCTCTGTGAGAGGTGGAGCTCTTAGGCTGATGCAGTTACGTTGATGCAGGGTCAGCACAGAATCGGAGCAAGCGCTCCTGGTGAGGACACGCACCGCCGAACCAAGGAGCGTAGTGTGGACATGCAAAAGCGATTTAATGATGGCAGCGGCTGTGCGTCAACGTAACTTAGGTCCACTTAATTTTGTAGTGTAGACATGCCCTTAGTCTCCTCTCTGTCAGCAGGAGGGTGTGCCCCTTCACGCCCATGTTCCAAGGTAATATTTAAGTGTTTGCTCTGAAACTGTAAACCCCCCAGTCAGGAGAGAAGCAATACCAAGTGTGACGGTTTGGACCCCCTGGGATGTCACCTGGTGTGCTGAGATACCACTGAGTCTACCTGCTCTGCCAGTCTGGGCCCCCTTTAACCTGTCTTGCTGAGCCAGGCTCTTAAAAAACCTCCTCTAACACACACAGGCAGGGCCACACCCAGCTGCAGATCAGCTCTGGGAAGACTCAGCTTAAGGGATTTTCTACAGCACCCAGATGTCCATCTCTCCTTGGAGTACAAACCCAAAATTATATGAAATTCGCCTCTTCCCTCAATGTGAAGGAGCGAATGCACAACTTATCGCCCCACCCCAGTTAGAAATCACATAAATTGGGTTACATTGTAAACCAGAAATAAATGTATTAACTATAGGAGATGTGTTTTAAGTTGTTAAGGAGGTAGCAGACAGGACAAAGCAGATTACTAAGCAAATTAAATCAAACAAACAAACTAAGCTAGTTTCACTAAAGAAATTGGTTACAAATAGTATTTCTCACCCTAAATGTGGTTCTAATAATCTTCTTCACAGGTCAGATGCCCTTCCAGCCTGGGTCCAGTTCTTTCCCCCAGTTCAGTCTTAGTTGTTTCCAGCTTAGTTGTTGTTGGATGGGGTAGCAGGGGAAAACTGACCATCAGGATTACCTCACTCCCCACCCTTAAATAGCATTTGCATAAGGTGGGAGTTCTTTGTTTCCCTAGATTGAACCCCGTCTCCCCCTCTTACAATGGATGGTTACAAGAAGTCCCAGGTAATGTTTTTGTATCAAGCCACAAGACCACCTGACTATGTAGGATTACAGCATCCATGAGTCAGGGGCAATATGGAGCATCCATGGGAAGGCCAAGCTTTTCACAGTTCATTGTCCTTACTGATGGGCCATCCGCCCTGTCTGGCTTTTCCATTGTTGTACCTGAAGTGTTGGCAGTGGGCGTCACCCAGAGTAGCATAGTTGAACTACAGATATATAGTCAATATTCCTAACGTCAGATACAGAAATGATACATGCATACAAATGGATAATCACATTCAGGAAATCATAACCTTTCTAACGATTTCTCACATGAGCCATCTGGCATAAAGTATATCTCAGTTATGTCATATTCATATCATAAGCATATTTTCACAAAGAATATGGAATGACACGTCACACCGAGTGTGAAATACTGGTTTACCAAAAGAGGTGTCATCTCCTGCCCCAGAAAAGGAAGGCCCTTGGACACCAGACAGGTCATTGTGTAACATCAGAGGACAAAAGACTTTGTTGATTGATCCCCCAAACCCCCATGAAAAGGAGACCTTCATGAGGACACGTCCCATCAGCTTGAACTCTAGGGCCAGGACAGAAAGGCAGAAAATCTGGGAATGTTCCAACCAGAATAGGGCTGCTGGGGAGTGTGAGAAATGGTCCCAGTCTCCCCCAGGGCTGAGCTCTGCCCCTAATGCTCTGATTCTCTCTCTCCCCAGAGAATGTGACTCTGGAGCCAGACACGGTTTATCCCGGACTCGTCCTGTCTGAGGATCGGAAAAGTGTGCAATGTGGAGACACCCGGCAGGATCTGCCTGACAATCCCGAGAGATTTGATCCCGTTCCCTGTGTGCTGGGATGGAAGGGGTTCACTTCGGGGAGACATTGCTGGGATGTGGAGGTGGGAGGTGGGGAACGCTGGGCCGTGGGGGTGGCTAGAGAATCACTGAGGAGGAAGGGACTGATCGACTTTAACCCTGAGGGGGGGATCTGGGCTGTGGAGCGGTGTCTGGATCAGTACCGGGCTCTCACCTCCCCTGAGGTCCCTCTCTCCTTGAGCCGGAACCCCAGAAGGATCCGGGTTTCTCTGGACTATGAGGCAGGGCAGGTGGCATTCTGCTATGCAGATGACGAGGCCCCGATCTTCACTTTCCCACCGGCCACTTTTGCTGGGGATAGAATCTGCCCTTGGCTCTGGGTCTGGAAATCCCAACTCCAACTGTGTCCCTGAGACGGGGCGGGTGGTGGGGAGAGAGATATCCCACTAGAATCCCATCAACAGATGGGCTTCTCTAGGACCTACCATCACCTGGAGGCTACAGAGGGCTTCTGCCTCATCAGAACAGGAAGAAGATCGTGATGAGGCTAGACCAGAAACTGATATTGACCAGCTTGTTCAGCACTTATTCTCTGCATCCCTGGAGGACTCTAACATTCAGCAGGGTCAGAGACTGAGATGGGCAGATCTGGTGGAGGGGAGGAGAAGGTGAGGACTGGAGAGGAAACCTTTTGTGCTGGGCGGGGGGAATTAATAATCTCCACAGAGTAGGAATGTTGTATATAGAATTTTACAAGATTATTTTTTATTTTTATGCAGTGGATCTTACATTGTTGTTATTCACACAATCGTTGTTGTCTACAGGGAAAGGTTTGTTTGTTGTTTGGGTTTTTTATGTATATTAATTCTATAAAACCTCCCTTTCTTCTGGGTGTGGGGTTTAAGATCCCAACTCCATAGGCGCCGACTCTGTGGGTGCTCCAAGGCTCAAGCACCCCCGGAAAAAAATAGGGGGTGCTCAGCACCCAGGAGTCAGAGCTTGAGTGTGGAATGTGATGAGTTCTGTGCTGCTAGCAACTTCTGTCCGTGGGGCAGGGAGTTTGTTTATAAACAGAGGCAGGGTGATTTAAGATAACAAAAGGCTTGTCATTAAATTAAATTAAATTAAATTAAATTAAATTAAGGATCATTAGATGATCCTGAAAGCATTTCCAGGCACTCCAGCTAAAAGATAGGAAACAAAGGGTAGGAATAAATGGTCCATTTTCAGAATGGAGAGAAGTAAATAGTGGTGTCCCCCAAGGGGCTTGTACTGGGGTCTGGGACCAATGCTGTTCGACAATATTCATAAATGATCTGCAAAAGGAGTAAACAGTGAGGTGGCAAATTTTGAAGACGATACAAAATTACTCAAGATTGTTAAGTCCAAAACAGACTGTAAAGAATTACAAAGGGGTCTCACAAAACTGGGTGAATTGGCAACAAAATGGCAGATGAAATTCAATGTTAAATGCAAAGTAATACACACGGCAAAATATAATCCCAATCATACATACAAAATTATGATACCCAAATTAGCTGTTACCCATCAAAAAAGCGATCCTGGAGTCATTTACAGAACTCTTCAAATTCATAAGAATCCTTCTCACTGTGCCTGTATCATCCTGAACTCATTCTCCAGCTTCAGAAGATTTAAAAATTATCTCCTGTTAACAATGGGACAGATGCAACTGAATAATGTAACTGTCCTTCACGTGCATCAAAACAATACCAGGGAACTAGATGTAAATAAGATTGCTGACAATTTCATCCAGAAAGCTACAGTGAGACGTAATGTTTTTAAATGGGGATGTTAGGTGATTGCAATGATTTTAATATACTGTAATTCAGGAGAATGTAATTATGTAGTTCATAACAATTGAATCATTATTAAAATTTATTTATTTTTATTTTTTATTTAATTTAAAATGGTAAAGATACCAATGATAGACTGTGACGCTCTGTACCTCGGGGGAACACCCTGCACCCCCATGTTCATCCTTATAATATGATTGTGTGGTATCCAATGCAAAGTTTGTCATGTCGGGTTTCTTTGGAAGGCTCATGATACACTGAGCATTGTTGTTATAGTAATGTTATAGGTTGTAATTTTGTGTATATAGTTATGAGGCTGAAAATGTGTCCTCGTGGCTTAAAATAAACTCAGGCAAAACTCTCCAGGAACAGAGACCCAGGCAAAACTCTACAAGAGCAGACGGGCAGTTCACACCTCATCAGGGCATGTATGGGACAAACCCAGCCCAGCCTCACAGGAACAAAGGACACTGGCCTGGGCAGCAACAAAGGATCTGTTGGACTCTCGAGTGAGTCACCCCCCTCCCTTGGTCAGTTTGGGACTGCAATGAGGTAATGCTCACCTGACTCTGAAGCGGGGGGCGCAAAGCCAAGAGGGAAGAAAGGACATGATAAAAAGGAGAGACGTTTGCCATGCTCTTCCTCTCTTCCACCTCCATCTACAGACACCACCACCAAGTGACTGAAGTGCTGATCAAAGGGGAGAGCCTGGCTGACGGGCAACCAGCCAGCCTGTGGTGAGAAGCATCTAAGTTTCTAAGTATCAGGGGGTAGCCGTGTTAGTCTGTATCTACAAAAACAACAAGGAGTCTGGTGACACCTTAAAGACTCACAGATTTATTTGGGCATAAGCTTTCGTGGGTAAAAACCTCACTTCTTCAGATGCATGGAGTGAAAGTTACAGATGCAGGCATTATATAATGTGTCAGACTCCTTGTTGTTTTTTTAAGTTTCTAAGGGCACTGAAAGTGTTAAGATCAGCTTAGAATACGTTTTGCTTTTATTTCACTTGACCAAATCTGACTTGTTGTGCTTTGACTTATAATCACTTAAAATCTATCTTTTGTAGTTAATAAATTTGTTTGTTTATTCTACCTGGAAGCAGTGCATTTGGTTTGAAGTGTGTCAGAGGTTCCCCTTGGGAGAACAAGCCTGGTACATATCAATTTCTTTGTTAAATTGAAGAACTCATATAAGCATGCAGCATCCAGCGGGCATAACTGGACACTGCAAGATGGAGGTTCCTAGGGTTGTGTCTGGGACCAGAAATATTGGCTAGTGTCATTCGGTTGCACAATCCAAGCACCTGCTGGCCAAAAGTGCTCACTGACATTGCTGGGAGCAGCTTACATGCCAGAGGTTGTACGTGAACAGCCCAGGATTGGGGGTTCTCACAGCAGAGCAAGGTAAGGCTGGCTCCCAGAGTCGAGGATTGGAGTGACCTAGCAGATCACTGGTCCAGATAACATCAGAGGAACGTCACATAGGCACATATTCAATAACTAGAATATGAAAGAAGTGTATAAATATGCTGAAAATAGCCTTCCCCCCCCCCCAACCCCAAACACACACACCTCTTCAAAAGCACCCACTTACAAAAACAAAAGTCAGCACTTATGCCTAACTCAGATGTGCCACTGAGACATGGGAGGGGAGGAGGGGGGAAATACCTGTCTCCAAGGCTCATGAAATGGATTCTCTGGGCTCTGAAATCCCCATGTCTCTGACCCTGGTGGAGAAAGTATGCTTCTGACCTGCCAAAGAGCAGAGAGATGTAACTGATCAGGTGAGAGATACGCCGGGCGTTGACCAGTCAGTGTGTATAAAAAATACTCTGTGAGTGCAGGACCGCTGCTGACCAAAATCAGAGCATTGGGGAGTGTCAGGAGATGGGGCCTGGACAGCAGAACCTGGAAGGAGATGGACAGTACTAACCACCTCCATGCTTGAAGATGGTTCCCCAGCTGTGCCCCAGGTTTTCAGCTCAGCTTCCACAGCTTTTTGCCATGTAGTTTTTGGGCAGCCTCGTTTTCGCTTGCCTTCAGGTGTCCATCTTATTGCTACTCTGGTGATGGAATCAGTTTCCCTCTGAAGCACACGGCCAATCCATCTCCAATGCCTCCTGGCAATGATGGTGCTCCGATTCTCTGTGCATTGAACCACTGAAAGACTTGCCAGAAACAGACAGGAGTGGAGGAGCTTTGTCGCTGCCCTAAACACCAGGGGCATAATGGGGACAGGATCATGATGCTTGAAGAATAATATTGTTTTTACAAGGTGTTTTTAAGCAATTCCCAGCTGAACAGAGAAGCTGGACTTCTTCAGCCACTGGTCCAGTGTCATAGGGGGACACTGGTCCTTTAATAGGAAGCTGGGCCTGGGCCTTATCAGGTCACTGCAGCATGGGACTTAAAAGAGGGCAGCTGGGCCCTAGAGGAGGGGGGTCCCAGTGAGGGGAAGTCTGGGTCCATCAGGCCTGAGAGTGAGTCGGGAAAGGGGCAGAGGGAGCAGACACGGGGCTGTGAAAGCAGGAAATCCCCTGGGAGTGAGTGCCAGGGACAGTGGGAACCTGCTGGGAGACCAACTGGTGAGGAGGAGACCCAGCGAAACCGAGGCAGCAGGAGAAGGACCAGAGGTGAGAGCTGCCAGAGACGGTGTGTCTGGGACCTGGGAGAAGGCCAAAGGCAGGAGAGCAGGAAGAAGGGTTTGCTGGCTGGGGGTCCCCAAGCCAGAAAGCCAGGGCCAGAGGGCTAAAGGCAGAAGCAACAACAGAGGGAGATGCCTGCTGGCTCTAAGCTGGAGAGCTGGAGCTAAAGGCAGGGGGCAGTGGAGGGCTTACTTGCTGACAGCTCCAGAGCTGGAGACTTGGACCCAGAGGAGCCATGAGAGGGCCGGAGGGAATGAGGGGCACTCACTGGGTGAGGATGCTCCCAGCAGAGAGGCCATGAACAGAGTCTCATTGGGAAGAGCGGGGATAGCAGAAGACGATCAACAGAGATGTCACACATGGTTGAAGGCACCCGTGTGTTGCATGTGGGGCATCGAGGGATGAAGTATGTTAAGTTTTACTGACTGTTTGGATGGCAGTGAGAAACGGACTGTGTTTGGGTCTTTTGTTATGGACTATTTTGTCATGGGGGTTGTATAATAAACCAGCCCCAAGGAGGGTATGATTGTGCCAAGAGAGCCTGAAGTGAAGTTACTGGGTTACCTGAGAGGGGAAGCTCTGGCCGGTGTACCTGCCCTTCCACAACCTGGCACGACTGGGTGCTCCAGGCGGGGGTGCCCTACAACACCCAGCCCTCATTCCGAGCTGCAGACATTCCCTACTAATCTCCCGCACTCCCTGCAATCCTAGTGCTCCCCCCATGCATCCCAGCTGGCCCATCCTAGATCTGCCTTCCCTTCCCCAGAAGTTGTGGTCCTTCCCCAGGGCAGGCTGATTCGCCGGGCCCGGGTCCCTCTCTACCAAAAAACTGGCTTCATGGCTTGACTTGTGCATCTAAAGTGGGAACTTCAGCCCTGAAATCACAAGCCCCGACCCCTTGCCTTAAAGCAGAAACTCCTTTGAGCTGTGAGCCATGAGCTGGTTGTTCATGACTGGAGCTGGCCACTAGGGGGACATGATCTCTTACACTTAGGCCTGGTCTACACTATGACTTTAATTCGGATTTAGCAGCGTTAAATCGAATTAACCCTGCACCCGTCCACACAACGGAGCCATTTATTTCGAATTAAAGGGCTCTTAAAATCGATTTCTGTACTCCACCCCGACGAGCGGAGTAGCGCCAAAATCGATTTTGTCATTTTGAATTAGGGTTAGTGTGGCCGCAATTCGATGGTATTGGCCTCTGGGAGCTGTCCCAGAGTGCACCATTGTGACCGCTCTGGACAGCAATCTGAACTCGCATGCACTGGCCAGGTAGACAGGAAAAGCCCCAGGAAAATTTGAATTTCATTTCCTGTTTGCCCAGCGAGGAGAGCACAGGTAACTATGCAGGCTGATAATCGAAAAAGAGCACCAGCATGGACCGCACGGGAGGTACTGGATCTGATCGCTATATGGGGAGAGGATTCAGTGCTAACAGAACTTCGTTCGAAAA